CTGCCTGCCCACAAACCCAGCAGGTGGACAACAACATCAGCCTTTTTTACAGCTGAGGGGTAAACACTCTAGGTAGTTATTAAAACAAACTAGCCCTAAAATAAAGTCAATTCTGGGATTCTCAGGAAATTGTTACCAACAAAAGGTGCTCATTCCTGCCCTCTAGTGGACAAGAATCCCACAGACCTACGTCGAATCAGTAATGAGAAAAAAAATGCGTTTGCTGGATTTACGGCTAACAAAAGCATCCAGTGTGATCTATTTTGAGATCACTGAGGTACACAAGCCATCTTAGGATACATCAGATGGTGGCTTAGCAATGAAAACAAATGGAAAGCTCCATGAGCCACGTGAAAAGAACATAGTCCATCCAAACAGAGTTTTATCTTTTTTGTCTGTAGCGTAAATTTGTCTCAGACAGATGGGGAATAAACTAAACTGCTGTCGAGCACGGAGAGTTTCAAACTGTGAAGATGCTTCTGTCCTCCCTCGCTAATTCCAAACACAACTAGGAAGGCTCATTCTTATTATGAACACAATATATTCTGTGTTCTCGGATTCACCAATCACCACAAGTGTTTTGTGAGCAGACGGTCATTCAGGGTATACACCAAGAGTAGAATAAATGTAAATCAGCTGCTTCGTAGACCCCCCGCACTCACCACCTCAGCTCAATGCTTTTCGTTCGAGGTGTAAACAGGCTGACTTACAAATAGATAAAGTGGCGAAGCAGACGTCACAGAAACACTTGTGGTCTTCATCTAAGCCTCGCCAGTGGCCTTTAAATGTCTGATTTTTCAGAGTATTTCTCATGTGTGTTAAGTGTGTTTTTATGAGCCATTATGTGCGAGCACACTCTGTGCCCGTTTCCTGATAACATAAAAGAGCTTAGCCGCAGGCGGCGATATCAAGTTTCTCAAACCAATCCAGGCGACCCAGAGCCTTTGACCAAAGCAGCATGCTGAATATAATTCGCCTTATTCAACAGTCTAGATACCACTGAGATTCCTGCCAGTACAGTATCAGGACTCCTGCCACCATGCGAGGAGCACATCCACGTACGTGATTTGGTTGAAATCTCTCTTGTGGTGTTTCCTGTGGGTTTCCGGTGAATATGGAAATGATGAAAAACAATTATTTGCGTTCCCTGTGCTTTTTTTGTGTGTGTAATTTTTAATATATTGCTTTAATAGAGAATCTATGTGAGTCACCAGAGGATGTGTCAGACCAAAGTGCAGCGAATACGCACGAACATCCCATTATGTAGTTACAGCCATTCGATCAACAGAAATGATACGATCTGTACTTTGATTATGTGGTTAGTCAGCCTCTTAGCTTGCTGTCAGTAGGCTTTGAGTGCATTTGCACGTCAGCCACACATTTAAATAAATAAAGGACACACAGGCACATACATGCATACATATTTACACTGCATAGCCAGCATGTCAAGAGATGAAATTACAGCAGATAGAAACAATAACTGTTGAAAGGCACACTGCTGTCAGTGGAGAAAATGATCCTTCCTGCAAATACAATTTGCAATCCCTTTGTAATATTACAGTAATATTACTCTTGTACACTGCAAACAGTCCAACTACATCATCTGTGGTTTGCATATGGCTTAAACAGGCTTAAAATGTGCTTTTCTACACAAAACCACAAAAACTGTGCAGCTGTTACCTAATGTACACAGCCTTATGTACTGACATAAGGTAAAAAAATTCAAATTTTCTAACAGGCTTGAAAGTCAAGGCTGTTTTACCTCTTTCATGACCTCCTACAAACATTTTGACTCATCACTCCATAAGACCTGAGTTTCATCCCAGTTCTTGTGTAATTTTGCGTACCTCTGCCTTTTCTCCCTCTTGACAGCCACTCTTCCACTGAGAACATTTCTGATGACGCTTCAGGGCAACAGCTAATAGCTCTTTGGCAAACACCTATTGAGTGCTAACATACTATTTTATACCTCTCTTACTGTGGTATTTTTCATAAATTCAGTTAATGAAATGGGAAAAAATCGTGTGTTTTGCAACAAGTTTCTTAATACATAATACTCATATACTCATATTTGCAAACTATGGTAGACTGAATCATTCATCACTGTAAAGTCAGATTAGTCATGATTTAGCTGATCACTCTCCCCCGGGCAGAGTGTCTGCAAAGAAGTGGAGAGAGCTGCATCTGTGCAGCTTTGCTCCTCCAACTTTGCCACATAGCATGCTGTAAGAAAGGTGACAGCTAACTGAGGGCGTTATACAACTGTGGGAAACTCTGGTTTTTATATATGCAGAACTGCAGCGTTTCTTGACTGTGTAGCTTAACAAGTAAAAGTTGACAAAAGTGCGAGGTGTTTTCGGTATCCCGGTGAGCGAGACACATTTTCACTCACAAGTGTACAGCTTGTAACAATATAAAGAAAGGTCAATAAGGGTCGTAAAAGCCACGAGCTGCTTCTGTTCTGGGTAGAGCATGTGATTACTGGTGTTTCAGTCTAAAATACAAAACAGTTTTACCGTGACAGTTGTTGCTGAACAGATAGCACTGCCTGTTGACCTGAAGACCCTGAAGACAGGCCCTCACAGAGTGTGACAGTTTAAAGGGAGATGGCATTGATATCGTTACAACAGGTAATTAACTCGGACCATAATGTAGAGTTTGGCAGCCTTACAAACACGGGTTACTTTCTCTCCTTCTGTTCTCTTACTCCTACCTGAAAGGTTTAGTCTTTTCTTTTTTGTTACAATAACTACAATTCCATTTTTAGTCCAAAGAATGAAAAACACTGAAACATTTTTCCTTTAAACACCTAATCCGCCTCCATTAGTATCTCCGAAAGATACTGTAGATTACTTCTAACATGCGTGCCAGCAGGCAGGCCTTCTGCAGTGTGGGCCGACTTGCGCTAATATTAAGGCATTGTTTCTCTGCTGTGTCACAGTCAACCTCCATAGCACAACACTAAATACTGCAGCACAACAGTTGTTTGCATGAGGCAGCAGGCTGAGGCGCAGTTGTTTTTGTCACGGCAATTTTCGCGTCGCTCTGGAGAGCATACAAGTGTTGAGCAACAACCCGGCTCTGAATGTTTTATCTGTGCATCCGCAAACGAAAAAGAAAAGACTGAGTGATACAGAGAGAAGACAACATATTTAAAGCAGGTATGATGCAGTAGTAAAGTACATTTGACATTTCCTCAATTACAGTGTACTAGAAGACAATACAACGTGAACTCTCACCCCAAAACACCGGCGGCAGGTCATCAGATCCAGTGCTGTTCCCATTTCTAGTAAAGATGGCCAACTGTTTAAATGTGATGGAAGTTAATAAAATGAACTTCTTCCCTTCTATTTTCAGCCTGACTATTGTGACCACGAACTGATCTGACACCAAACTGTTGATTGGCTCAAGTGTATGAAAGGAAAATAAAAAATGGCTAATCTCATTTAAAGTTCAGTTAAGTATATTCTTGTGATCCACATCCAGCAGTATGCCAGAGAAACAACACCCCACACACACCTTAAATTCTCCCACTGAGCTATCCACTAACCTGTCCTGGTCTCCTGTTGCGCCTGTGACACCCGAGAATCAATTACAACGCTTCGGCTGGTAATGAGGTCTCCAATTACCTGATCCACAGGCTAACGGACAATATACAGGTCTTTAATCTTTCATGCGCCTTCAACAAGCCCGCTGCACTCGTCTGGCAGCATTTCCCCCCAAAGATCTGACGCAACCAACACTGTTACATGCAGCTTACGGAATTAAGCTCAAATCAAAACATCATTTTAAGCAGCAAGTGGGGTGATTATACTTTACTAATTAGAAAAAATGAAAGGGACCAGGGCCCAGTAATTTTGGAAGCTTGAAATTAGCCAGCAGCTTTGGGTTTCCTAAGCTGACCACTTGATGGATGTCATTTTAATTGCCAAAGCTCCAAAACTGGAGTAGCTACAGTCCTACAGTCCTCCCTATATATATATAAAATAGACTTTATTTATTTTTACCTATTGTTTCAACTTTAACAGAATAAACTTGAGTACATATGCAAGACTAAAGTAAAATAGGTATCATGTCAACTAAATTCATTGTGTTTTTTGCGGTATTGTTTCCATTTTTTAGCTGCACTGTGGTGCAGTAGTTAGCACTGTTGCCCCTTTCTGTTTACATTTTGCATGTTCTCTGCAAGTGCTTGGCTTCTTCCAAAACTCATGCAATTAAAGGGGTTAGGTTAATTCTTAATTGCCCATAGGTGTGAATGTGAGAGTGAATAGTTGTCTGTCTCCCTGTGTTGGACCTGTGACAGACTGGTGACCTGTCCAGGGCGTACCTCGCGTCTCACCCTAAAGTAGCTGGGTTAGGCCTCAGCCCGCCTGTGACCCTGAATCGGATAAGCAGAAGAGAACGAACGGATGGATGGATAGATTTTGCACCATTTTGCACCTTATGCTGTATTCTCAGGACTGTCAGCCCTAGATTTTTTTCCTTGCATTCTCCTCTTTATCAGCTTTGATCACCATAGTTTCTCTTGCGCATTATCTTTCATGTATCAGGACAACAAAGCTTTAAAGCGATAACTTGTTTTTTGGGGGTTGTTTTTATCATCACATGTTAACAGTTGCCTTCCCTCAGGGTGACGAGCAGGATTTATTTGGTAAAGTTGAAAATAGCCACAGAGTCACAAGCACACAGCTGTATAAATTAATTAAAGATAAGGAAAGAGCGAGTGGGACGAGCTGTCTTCATTTGGGAGCTGCTGTGAATGTCTGCATGAAGCTGCACTCACAGCAAGTGAGAAAACTTAAGTCATGCTCTGCCGAACGGCCATATGTTCTGTGGCCGGAAAAACCTTTAATCCTAAGTGCCTATTTAAATGAGCCGGCTTTGAGATGTGTGAAAAAAGGGGATGAAGGAAACAACGCCATGATGATACAGGATTTAGCTGGACACGGCTGGGTGGGACCGAATCAAATAACAGGAAGTGAAGGAATCAAACTTACAAACTTCCTCTTTAGCTTTCCCTTCCCACGGTTCTGTTTGCCCTCGACCGCAGTCACTGCGCCGAAGTCGGAGCCCATGTCTAGGTGCTCATCGGCTGACATGCTCTTGCGCAGGTAAGCAGCCCGCGCCCGGAAATGGGAGAACGGCGACTGGGAGCGTGGACGGGCCTCGGTGCAGCCGCTAGTCTCATTGTCACCTTCTATGTCATCCTCCAAACGCCAAAGCTCCCCTGGATGAAAACAAAAAGACAAATTGAAAGACAAATTGTCTTTAATTTGTCTTAACTGAAGACAAATAAAGACATCACAGTGGCATTACATGAAGGTAACAATAAGAAGAAAGGAGAAGAAGGGAGAAAAAAGACAGGAGAATAAATGAGAGCAGGACCGACTGGACCGTGCGCAATTACTGGAAACTCACTCTACAAATTCTGAGCTATCATCCCTGATTGCTTCCATAAAACATGTCCAGAAAGTAATTTAGCTTCCTTTATAGGTAAAATACTTTATAACCGCAGCATTATTCTCACCATGCCTCCTGAACAGCGTGATTATGATTTCATATGCTGGACAGAGAGGGCGTTTTTCTCCAAAGCGCTGACATGATGTCTGAGTTCTCACAGTCACACCACAGAGATGGATGAGTGCTGTCAGAAACTGCCTCAGCTCCACTAATCAGAGACAACTTCCATCGCTCTGCATTTGACGGACGTCAGACGTCTTGTCGCATCCCGTCTGCGGCATCTGACCAACGGCATTCAAAAAAAAAAAAAACAACACGCAGCCGTATGCTGAGTAAGCAAAATCAGCCGTCTTCATCAAGGTATTAACAACGACAGCAGTGAAACGTGCTCATGATTCAAATATCATCTCAAATTATAGTAGGAAAATGAGCACACAGTGTACTTCCCAGCCCCCAATGAATCACTGTATAAGGTTAAGAAGGTCAAAGTCTCAGACATTTCTCTGCTGTAAATACTTTTATTAAAACATCAGATAATTGAGTGCAGTCAGGACCACTGGAGTCAAAACCAGAAAAATATATAAAAACTGTTATTTATATGTTTTTCAGTCTATTTGGCTGTAATGCATTTATATGGCTCTGTTCTGGAGAGCCTCCCCGCTCTTCCAAGTGCACCTCTCCTCACATCCATGTGCATATGTGGAAAGTTGGAAAGGTGCAGAGAGCAGCAACAAGAGCCCATCAGAGAACCAAACAGGTATTAATGACGACAGACATGACAGAGCAGAGAGGCTGCAGTGCAAAAACTCCCTTTTTCAGACAGGAGCATTCCTAAATCTGTTTATGTGATATCGTTACCTCATATTACACCATTTCACTCTTTAGTTGGGTTTCTTTAATGCAAATTTTAGTGATTTTCTTTACTGTAGGATTGTGTCGTATGATTGCATTTGGTTTTTACTGTTTCTTTTATTATTTATGTGGATGATTTCTTGAGAGCCTGTCTGTAAACCAAAAGTTTCCCAGCAGGGACGATAAATAAAGAAATGAGAAATGAGGTGGAAAGCCACTAAAATCTTTTATATAGGCTTTCCTGTCAGTTTCATTAAGTTACAGTCCAGTATATTTATTTTAAAGAAAAATATATTAGTTATATGCATTAAATGGGCTACATTTATATTCACACTTTATTAGGTACACCTTACTAATACCAGGCTGGATCTCCTCTTGTCTTCAGAACTGCTGTCAACAAGACGCTGGAAACATCCTTTTTAATTGGCTCCTTGGGGATAAAGTGTTTTTGAATTTGAATGTCCTCAGACATGATGGCATCACACAGTTGCTGCAGATTTGTTAAATGCACTTCCACAATGGGAATCTCCTGTTCCTCCACATCCCAAAGGTGCTCAACTGGATTGAGATTTGGTGGATGTGGAGGTCATTTGAGTACAGTGAACTCAGCAGAAGTCCACACCAGGTGGTCTTCCGCTGCTATACACCATCTGCTTCGAGCTTTAATGCATTGTGAATTCAGAGATGCTCTTCTGCATACCTTGGTTGTAAGTAGTGGGAATCTTTTCAGTTTCTATTGCCTTCCTATAAGCTTGACAAAATCTGGTCATTCTCCCCTGACCTCTGGCACCAGTAAGGCATTTTCAAACTGCCTCTCACTGGATATTTTCTCTCTTGTGTGTTGTGTGGGAAACTCCCAGCAAATACTCAAACCAGCACCAGCACTTAACTGTATAGATACAGTGGGTCCAGTGCAGTGGTTTTTACATTTGCATAACAATTGAAAGATCCCCAGTTTAATCCTGGGAGGATCAAAGAAGAGCACACTGCTTGGACACATGTGGAGATACCTGCTGTGGTGACAGCTTGTGACTAAGCGAGGAGCTGAAAAGTCATTTTTCTGTTATTTATTTATTTTTATTTTTTGGTACACACATAGCTCTTTTTCCCCTCACACCCTGGGGCTCAAACCTCTGGAGGCACCCCGCTCTACCTCCCGAGCCACAGCTGCTGTGATTCATTATTCATTATATCCATTATTAAAAGAGTAAAACTGCAGCTCTTTTGGCAGTGAGTGTTTTGTGTGAGCTTATGAATGATCTCCAGAGTGTGAAATATAACCTGTGTATCAGTTCCACAGTCTGAGCTGCAGCCAAAGCCGGGCCAAATAATAAAAGCAACAAAATGACTGAGCCTGATCCCTAATACAGGATGTTGCTTAAATCCACAAACCGAATGCAGCTGGATTATTAAACAACTTGGATTTTTAGAAAAAGTTGTCTGCATACCGAGACATAAACAGAGGTAGAGAGAGAAAGAAAGAGGGAGGCAGCATCATGGTCGATGACAGTGGTCGCTAGGCAACAAGCAGCCACGTGAGACCAAACTCTCTCTCAATTTGATATTTTCAGCAGAGCAGGAGCCGTGGAAGAAAAAAAATAGGCAGAGAGACAGACACCAACACGCCATCAGACCCAGATAATTAGTCTAGATGTAAAAGGACATAAGATGGAAGCACTTGGGCTAAATCAACCAATCACTGACAGAGAGCTGAGTTATTAGACGTAGTAAAGGAGAAGATTTATCGGATCAGAGCAGCGAGGGCTCGGGATTCACTCGATGCTACTCGGCCAAAGTGGGTTAGTGATGACATTCACATAGTTCAAACTGCAGCCAAAATAGGACAGAGAAATGTAACGAGAGGGAGGAAAAGGGAAGCAGGGATACTGGAAGTCTCTTTCAGAGACAATGGATTCACTTCTGCCATGTTCACTTTAGTCATGAATTTTAACAAATAAGCTCTCTTATTGTATTAAATGTAGTTTATTACTGAACCTAAACATCTAAGTAACTTTAATACATTTATTAAAAAAAAACACTTTCATACCACCATAGATGGAAGTGGCGATATTATTCTTATTTAAAGTTCCAGATTTGTATTCTTGGAGTAGCTTTTACATGATTCACAGATCGAAATAATCCTCACACAGCCCCTCAGTTCACTCTTTCTGAAACAGGACATTTATTCTCTGTCACTCTTCCTATTACGCTACGCTACATAAAAGGCAATGCTACCAGTGTAGGAAAACCTTAACTCTCTATATATTAAGTCTCCTTCATTTTAATAGTTCACTTATAATATAAATAGTAAAAAACATCAGTAGGTTAAAGCAGACCAGACTGCAAGCAGACCAGCAATGAACTGAAGAAACACCTGTGAGTTAAAGCTCAGGGCACAGCCGAGCAGTCTCACACAGGAGCTGGTGTTAACTAAAGTTGTCGCCTCGCTTTAGTCATCCGCAAAGTGTGCAGATCAGCTGCGTCCTCAGTAAACTAGAAAAGAGAGCACTGGCATGAGTTGTTTTTTGTTTTTTTTTTTACAGTATTTTGATGTGAATTATTTTGAACACAATGTGAATTTCTCATTTTTAATAATCACGGTCAAATCCAGTTTATTGTGACAACACCAGTTTCTTGTATGTAGAAGGTTTTTACAGATGGGTAGGTCTGCCGTACTCGCAACTACGACTATGACCATAATAATCATATCAGTTCTCAATGACATCACACAGAGCCAAAAGTAGAAAACAGCCGTCCGATTATTTTAGTATATTCACCTATGGTATCAATTAAAAACTCCTACATTGGCTCGTTCTCGAGTTATCCCATTAAGTTGCAATATATTTGACCTCTCAGGGCCACCGTAGAATACTCTGTCCTCAACGAAGTGGCTCACAGTAGGTGAGAAGCATGGAAATGCTGATGTTATCACTGACATAACCTTGTTCAGTATTTTCTTCTACACCATAACAAATATCATTCACACAGCTTTCTATGAAATATCATGATATCATTTTGAGCCTACATCTCAAATAGTAGGTCCACCTTAACATAAATCAACCTCAGAAAGGTTTACTTTCAGGTTGCTTGATCTTATTATTTATAATTTTCTGTACACATGTATCATGTGAGGTCGCATTCGCATTGATTGAAATTTGTACCAGCACTGACTGCAGAGCCGGGAGACAGCGAAAGAAGACAGAAGCCAATCAAGAAAGAGGGGAGGCAAAATAAAGCCCTTGCTGTATCAGCATCTCGTCCCCTCTAAGCCCTCTCACGCACTCTGAAATGCGCCGCTCCACAATGACCTTCATGGTGAAGAGAACGAAAATATCAGGTATCTTCTGGATGAGATTTTTTTTTCATTACAATGTGAGCAGCTGTTTTAGCTCATTTCAAAGTTTTTACCACCTATGTTGCTGCCTGTGTCTCTGCCAATCCAGTGGGACTGAGTGACTTCAAGAGGAACCTATTTTTTTCTTATTTTATTTAGGTCTTCCTCTCTGATGCTGGCTGCGTCTTTTTTGGAGTTACATACTTCTTGCAGTTTCAGGATGAGCTCCTGTGCAGATTTCTCTTGTATTAAACATCACAAGTGAGAATGATAACGTGGTATTTTCCGCCTTAATCCAACATTTGAAATATGCCAAAAGTCATCTCTTCTCTCAGAGCTCCATGCTGTCAAGCTGAGTGACATCAGTCAGCAGTGATAGTGAAAGTGTATGTCTATCAATACGTGTGAATGAGGAGACAAGCGTTAGGATGTCTAGCTCGATGTCTAGCCTTGATCTTTAGCTTTGAGCTCTGGTTTGATGGTGCTTGGCTTGTTCAGGGTTGAAGGGAAGATTAGTTTCCAAATCAGGCACTTTGAAAAAGTATCTGAGCTGCTTGAAGAAATTAGAAATGCACTGCCTAAATGGCACAAGCAGAGATTTCATGAGAAATGATTTAAATTGGCCATAATGTTTAGTTTTTGTCTTAACAGATAATCAAAGGCTTGCATTAATTCACTTGCATTAAATCGAAATTTCCCCGATTCATTTCTCTCCTGCCTTCAGTTTCAGATGTCTGCTATTGTGGTGTTTCTATAGAAGAGCTCTTTTTGATCTATACAAATCAAAGCCCAACTGTGAGGGGCTTTCTTTCACATAAAAATCCCTGCCACCTATAAATGTTTTCATCCTCAAAAAAAGCCCTCATTTGTCTTTAAGATGAAAGCCTTCGCTGTCAGTGGGCTTACACCGTCAGAATTCTCCATGACAGTTTCCCCTCTCCTGGGAGGGAGCGGCGTTTGATTCCTACACAAGAGGAGGAGAGAGGAGAGAAAACAGTGAAAGGATATACACTGTTTTCTCTTGTACATGCAGCTGCTGAGACAGATGGCTGCTGGGCGCTCTCAGCCAAGTGAAGCATAAGACAGGATATCCACAAAACCAATGCAGGTGTGGGCATTTGAACAGAAATAAGAAGATTTTAGCTTGAGCTTTTACTGCCCTTTAAACTCTTGTATCGCCGCCACAAGATCATTTTCAAATAACTAACCCTTTGAGTTGCGCTCAGGCCAGAGACTGCCGTTTCATGGTGAAAAATGAAAGACAGAGCAAAATTCACCAAGAAAAAAAGAGCACTTCTAGGTTAAACCCAAGTGGCAAATTTCATACAGGGTGCCTTTACACTTGCTCAGTATCTGCAAGCTGCTTTGCAACCCACCTCTGCCACACTTCCTCCTTTTCATGCTGTTTCTTACTTTATCCATGCCAAGTATGTTTTGAGCAGGGGTCTTGCTGCTGCTGCTTTCCCCACCTCCATCTTTCCATAGATACACCATAGAGAGGTGGAGAGGTCCTACCACAGGGTCAATTTTCCCTCAAATTACTGCAGATTGAAATTATAATCACCTTTTTCAAACAAAAGTGGTCATGGCCTGACCACAAAGTGGTTAATTGCATCACTTTGATTGTAACAAGTCGCTTGATATTGTTTCTCCAAACTCTGTTAGCTGAAAAAAAATAAGCTAGCTGTGTGGTGCTAGCTTCCATTTTGTCTTTACCTGCAGGTGGCAAAGTGCAGGCCTTTGAGTGGCTGGTGGCAACTGGAGGATTCTTCATGCGCGGAGGACTCCCGCCAATGAGATCAGAGTGGTGGACCCTGGAGACCGTTGGAGACTGGGGGATGCTGGGGAGGGTACGCGACTTAGCCAGTATGGGTCGCTGTAGCTTCCTTTCCAGCGACCTGCATAGACAGCATAAATGGTCAATTGCACGGATCGTTACAATACCACAGCCAAATCCAACATCAGCACTAACACTGACTCAGGCACATACTGGTAGACAAATACAACTTACTGTTAATGAGCAACAAAAGTATCTTTGCCAATCAATAGCTAAATTGCTTCCACCTCAGTATAATCAACCCGAAGGTCATTTGGAACACTAGAACAGTAGATCGTTAGTGGACTGAACACTGTCCAATGGGACGCAAATCAATGGCTACAATCACAAGATCGGCTTAACAAATTGGTGACAAGCACACATCCAGGCTTACTTGTGTCTTTTTTATGTTAATATTTTCTCACAGGAGACTGCGTTCCTTGTGCTCTCACAGCCGTGCTGCGTTAGACTGCAACAGATGACTGATATTACATACAAATCCTCTCTGAAACATTTGTGTCTCATTTATAATAGAGACTAAGAATCTGGAAACAACAAACTCAGTACTGACTCAGTGCATTGAGTCCACCTCCAATGCCACTTCCGATCAGATTGATGTGCTGAGATTTAATGAAACGTGGCCGGCATAGCAGACATCAGCCTGGTGGAGCTGGAAGACATCTGACCTCCAGATTTTAGCGTGACAAGCCTGGGTACTAAACACATGATCCCCAGCTGAAAATGAGTTGAAGACATGCAAGCTGAATTCTCAGAGGCTGATTTTTCCTGAAAGCTTCAGGGGAAAGTTTTTATCTGTGATTAAATGTGTGTTTTGTTTTAATATATACACAAATGTATATATATATTATCTCATATCATATAATATGAGATAACCGTTTCATTTTGAGCATTTTTAAGATGAAACAAGACCACCACTTGCAGATTTGGACAACAAAACAAGCTGTTAAATTTCATAAGCCGGCATAATGGTGTGTCATTACACCAGCATATGCCTTAGAGAGCAAGTGTGCCTGCATGCAAATTTCAAACCTCTCTGTCTTTTTGGGTGTTTTTCATTTTTCCTCTCTCATTTGCCATCTAGTCCTGTTTGTTTCATTGTGATTTGTCAGCCCTGCAACCCAGATTACGTTCCAAAAACTAACAACAGTTCCACATTTTATTATGTGGAACTGTTGTTAACAATTAGAATTGCAGTTTTGCAATTATTTATAAGGTCTGAGGCAGAAATTAACTTTACTAATTTGCTGGGAAATAAACACGAGAGTTAAATGTTGCAGTACTGTGCAAAAGTGTCGAGTGACTCCTCATCCTTTTGTATTTTGCTCCCAAAGAGCCAGACTTTTATTGTCATTGTTTAAGAGTTCTTGAGCCATAGTTCTCCAGGCCTTGTACCTGACCATTTTCAGAGGAATCTATTTTTTGTTTGTTAATACTTGCCTATGAATAATTCAAACATTAATAAGGCACCTAACTCAAGGGCTGAGCCAATATTGTGTCTACACATAACAGACACCTTGGCAAAAAAAAACAAAAAAACATTTAAAAATATATCTTCAGGCACTTTGTTACTAGCAGCCTGTGCAAAAACACATTATTTATTCCCATTCTTTAGTTGAATCTATGAAAAGATATGAAAAGAAAAGTCACAGTTTGGCAGGTATTAAATATTTTTGCACCAACAAGGACATCAAATTGCCATATTTCAGTATGTTGCACACTGTGTACTCAAAACAACTGAAGAAACCGAAACCATGCAATACCATCTGAAAAGCATCTGATTCACAACAACTTTTTTCAGCATGGCAGCAATCCAATCCAATATACACTGACAATACAATAAAAGCATATCTGCTTAGAAAAACACAATGCAACACAATCAGTCACGGCCTCCCCAGACCCCAAACTCATCATTATTGAAGAAGAGCTTGCAATGTCCTTCCTGAAGACTACTTAAAGAGATGACAAGAAAGCTTTCCTAATAGGGTTCAGTGTTTAGAAATGAAGGTGGTCATACCAAATATCGACTCTCAAGCTCAACAGAATTGTACAAACTCTGTGTTTGGCTTACATATACTCTGTATGTTTGCACTTTTTAGTGAATCGCTGCACCTATTTCTCATCTCCACAGTAAAATCTAAAGAAATGAAGAGTGACTTTTGCAGATGACTGCAGATCATTTACTAAGCATGAATGATGACTCGACTGTCTTGAGTTCTTGGCAGACAACCTTACGGTGATTACAGGACTGCCCCTATGAGCTAATGTAAACATCTTGTTTGTAAGTGTTCCCATTCAAAAGATTCAAAAACATGTACTCTACAGATAAATCTACCTGTTACCACCAGAGCAGGTAGAGTAAGGTAAGAGCTCTTAAAGGGCTGGAAAAAGCAGAGGCTTGTGCAGCATGTACGCATTAATCACAGTCTAGATTCATTCAGCAGACATCAACCAAGGCCTCAATAAACTAAATAGGTTGAGTGAACCATACAATAAAAACGAGAATGAAATTCTGTATTCTGTATAACAAAATTCTATAACCTCTTCAAATGTTTCAGAGAAGCTCACAGCCACTGATTCAAATCATATACCATCTTATTCCATTAAATTTATGTTGTCTCCACTGTGCTGCTGTTTATGTCGTGCTGTTTTTCTGCTTTGTGGGACATTTATTTTTATGTATCATAATGTGTTTCTAACTGTTACGCTCAGCAGAACAGGAGCCTGCTGTAAACCACTTTAAATTGAGTCAGGCCAGTTAAACATGACTTATTTAATGTAATGAATGGAATGATTGAAGGGATAAAAACGCCTGGGCGGACTAAGTGACAAACAGAAGCATCGTGTGTACCATTTTGTGTACATTACCGAAGGATGGGCATTAACTTGTTCATCACAGAATGATTTGCCATCGGCAATCATTCACTGTGGGCTGGCTGAAGCAAATGAATCACTGTATACTCCCATCACTGTATAGTAAAGTTGCCCGTTTAATCCAATTAAACATTTCCTGTGCCGATTTGACACACAAGCAGCTGTAACTGGTAACTGTCTGCCAGGCTTCACTTCCACTAATTCGACTCTACCTCTCGACAGTGTTTGAGGGGCTGGTGCATCTTGGAGCGTTGTTTTGCAATTATCAGGCAAATAACATGGTCTGCTGTGAGGTTACTTGTACTAAGAGATTGTCCAAGAAGTCGATGTGCTCTAGTTTCAAGGAGTATTTTATTTGCATGCAATTAACAGGTATCTGTGTTTCTGACAAGCACACATACAGTCTATTGATGCAACTTGCTAACCAAGCAGATAGCTTAGAGTTAATCTCATGTCTTATCCAGTTATGTTGATTTCTTGCTCCAAAAATAACAAGATATCAGCAGCTAAAAAGCTTAAAATTATGCTTTTCCAGCAGGACCTCATAAATCAACTGGCCTCATCACTATGGCTACATCCATCTTTCTGGTAAATGTATCCTTTTAAAGCAAACTTTTTGAGCTGTTACATTTAATTTGACCTCAAATGCAATGCAAAAATCCCAGGTGTCAAAAAATTCTCCTATGTGGTCCGAAACAGGGTGAAAGGCTGGTAACCGTGGCGATACAAATTCAGAAAATGAACAAATTTCATCAAATATCATCAATCTGATGTAAGCCAGACATTAAAGCCTTTCTTCTACACACAGGATCATATCTAATCCATTAAAGAGCTTGCCTTTACGAAAGAAGATTATTAGTCATTAATTAATTCATGAGGAAATCCAATGCTGCAGCTTTATTAAGAAGTGCATGCACTCAGCGGTGAATAGGAGTCTTTTTGGTACCAGCATGTTTTTACAAGCCACTTCAGTAAAACTCAAGTGTGCCGTGTTTGAGGGGGGATACTTATGTTCTCTTTTAATTCCCTTCGATCGCTGGCTCAGGATATGCGGCGTAAGCTCGGGGTTTACTCGGCGCTAGGGAGCTATCAGGTAAACCAACAGCGGGTGCAAAGTCAGCACATCTGCAGGTTTGAGAGGCAAAGCGCTGCCGGCAAGGAAACCGAGAGCTAAAAGAAAACACGGGTGGTGAATTTGTGAATGTTTGACACTGACAAACCGCGTGGTGTGTAATACTTTAATGCTGACTATATACATGTGTGCAGGACTTACACAAATAGAAACTTTGATAGTAATGCAAACTGAAAGCTCTGTTACTCCTCGGCAATCCATACTGACTTGCATGAAAAAGCATCTGCCCGAGGCGCGCGCACACACACACACACACACACACACACACACACACACCTCTTCTCAGTGAGCATAAGATGAAATAACTCAGAGTCCACGGATAAACAAACGCACACACATACAACTGCACTGACACACACGTGCGCAAACACAGTTGTTGGCCTCCCACCAGCACATCATGATGATAACACACTGTGCTGAACAGCCGGCCCAGGCCACTCTGACAATTTGGGCTTCACTCATCCAACAAACCTGTTGCTTAGCGACTCTGACTACAAACGGGGGAGACGAGAGATCGCCGGAGAGGCTTATTCTTGCTTCCCAGCAGCAATTTATACTTTCATAAAAACAGCGTCTCGCCCAGGGTTGCGAGCATCAAGTGCACCACGTTTTGTGGGGTGTTTCTTTTTTCTTTTTTTTTGTCACCGAATTTATTATCGCTTATATTTTAGTCGAGCTTTCTTTGGCAGTGTACATTTGTGCGAGCGCTCTGAGTGAAATAAAATGACACTACAACAAATGGGTGACATTTTTTTTCTTAGAAATAACAGAAGAATGCATGAAGAAGAACATTAATTAAAGATGTGGAGGGGCTCACGAGGAAAAAAGGTCACCATGCAGAGAGATCTTGACCAGGAGTCAAACTTCTGACCTTATGATTGAAAAGCAATGTTTTTATGTGGTGTGGGTGGTTTGTGGGCTACAATGTTACTCCTGGATTGGCATCATCAAGCCTTAACAATTAAACTGATTTTGCAACAGTGTTTGAGAAAGACAGGGACTTGTGGTGAATTTGTGGTTCTGTGGATGTGTCCTTCAGTGTTGGAATTGGTATTGGT